GGGAGGGAGGGAGAGTGAAAGAGAGAGAGAGAGAGAAAGAGACAGAGAGAGAAAGAGACAGAGAGAGAAAGAGAGAGTGAAAGAGAGACAGAGAGAGAGAGAAAGAGAGAGTGAGAGTGAAAAAGACAGAGAGAGAGACAGATAACAAAAGGTTCAATCTCTCTGCCACAGGAAACCAAGGGTGCCAGGGAGGCCTAATGGACAACGCCTTGTATAAATATATATAGAGAGATAGGGAGAAAGAGAGAGTGAAAGAGAGAGAGAGAGTAAAAGAGAGAGAGGGTGGGAGAGAGTGAAAGAAAGAGAGAGAGGGGGTGAGAGAGAGAGAAAAAAAAGAGAGAAAAGTAAAAAGAGAGAGAGAAAGAGAGAGAGACAGAGAGAGAGAGAGTGAGAGAAAGAGAGAGAGAGAGAGAGAGAGAAAGAGAGAGAGAGAGACAGATAACAAAAGGTTCAATCTGTCTGCCACAGGAAACCAAGGGTGCCAGGGAGGCCTTATGGACAACGCCTTCCAGTATATCAAAGAGAACAACGGAATTGATACCGAGTCTTCTTATCCTTATGAGGCCAAGGTTGGTGTGTGTGTGTGTGTGTGTGTGTGTGTGTGTCTGTGTGTATGTGAGTGTGTGTGTATGTGAGTGTGTGTGTGTGTGTGTGTGTATGTGAGTGTGTGTGTGTGTCATTGTCATTGTCATGTCTCTGTCTTTGTGTGGGTGGTTGGCAGGTGCTCTGGTGTGGTTTGCTTCTTTTTTCCTATCAAACATCTATCGTCCTTATCTCCCCTCATTCTTTTTTATGTTTGTTACTCTCTTGTAACACCTCGAATCTTCTGGCGCTCATATGACCTTATTGTGTTGCAAGTGCCGTAAAACTCTTACTATCCCTCCGGGGCAGTGCCACTGACTGTAGTGTCTTTAGGCCATTCCCAAAGGGGGGACATTTCTCGTTCAAGCACAGTAGAATTGTAAATGGGCTGATTCATGTCACGCTCATAACTGTGCCTGATCTACAACAGGGAACTGCTGCTTTTTCTTTCCTAATCCTTACTGTTGTCATTTTCCTCTACTTTTTTGTATGTTTGTCACTCTTTAGTGACCTGCTATTTCCGGGGTGCCTTGATAGTCGAAGCAGACTTTGTGCTGTTGAAGCTAAAGAGGTGAGCAGAGTAAGTCTGATTCCCTGTAAGGACTTCTCTTTTGACACCCACCTCTTCGCGCTCATATAACCTTATGCATTTGTGAGCGCCGTAAAACCCTCTACTATACTTATAAAACTCTTACTAAAACTAAACCTAAAAAATTATCACTGTCAATGTCACTGTCATTGTCAGTGTCATTGTCATTGTCAATGTCATTGTCACTGTCATTGTCACTGTCACTGTCATTGTCATTGTCACTGTCACTGTCATTGTCATTGTCATTGTCACTGTCATTGTCACTGTCATTGTCGTTGTCATTGTCACTGTCACTGTCATTGTCACTGTCATTGTCACTGTCACTGTCACTGTCATTGTCACTGTCATTGTCATTGTCACTGTCATTGTCGTTGTCATTGTCACTGTCACTGTCATTGTCGTTGTCGTTGTCGTTGTCGTTGTCATTGTCATTGTCACTGTCACTGTCATTGTCATTGTCACTGTCACTGTCACTATCATTGTCACTGTCACTGTCATGCCACTGTCATTGCCATTGTCACTGTCATTGTCACTGTCGTCACTGTCATTGTCACTGTCATTGTCATTGTCACTGCCACTACCCTCTGCCCCTCCCCAGAACGACCAGTGTCGCTTCAACCCGGCTAACGTGGGTGCCAACGACACGGGTTTCGTGGACGTCAAGTCGAAGGACGAGCAGGCCCTCCAACAGGCCGTGGCCACTGTAGGGCCCATCTCGGTGGCCATTGACGCCAACCACATCACCTTCCAGGTGGGACGTCATCATCATCATCACCATCATCATTATAATAATAA